CTATTGTTATTATCTCATCATCTTATTTTTGCTTTATTTTATCTTTTTATTTTATGTTTTCTCTTATGTACTCTTACATTTAATTCAATATTCCCTCCGTTTTAAATTAGTTGTCGTTTTAGCAAAATGTATCTGCAAATTTTTGGATGTATCTGGATCAAAACACATCCATATACATCCAAATATTTGCAGATACATTTTGTCAAAACGACAAGTAATTTAAAACGGAGGGAGTATTAATAAAGCTGGATGTAACAGAAATAAACCTATTGAAAGTGACTTTTTTTTGTAAAAGAGTTATTAATTAGCCACGGCCGCCAAATGTTTTATCAACAATAAATGGTTGCGTTTTTACAGGACTGTAAAATCATACTCCTAAATTATTTTATACCAAGAACGAACAAAAGAAAAAAATTCGCAGAGCGTGTAATCATTTAATGTATTTCGTGTATTGCCTATAGAATTATTCTGTTTAGCTTTAAAATGATTTCTTCAACCTTTTCTTACGCATAAAAAAGTGTTTGCTATTTACATATCTTCGAAATAAGAAAAAAAAGAAAAACATTATAATTCTGCTTTTTCCACAGCCCAATCCAACAAAGAAGAAATAACGTATTCTTGAAGACCTACAATTCTGCTTTTACATAAGGCCCATTAACACGAAATTTGTAGTTTTAATTACTAGCAAAGAGTAGACAGAGTTTAGCTGTTTAGATAGAGTAGATTAGGGTTTAGAGACATCGATTATGAGAGGAACACGCAGCAAAAGGACCAAGACCGTGAACAAGATCAATCAACAAGCGTTGGAAGATGAAGAAAACTTTGTCCACATCCCTCTTGACTTAGTGATCGAGATTGTTGGTAGATTGCCTTCGAAATCCGTAGCGAGGTTTCTAGTAGTATCCAAGTCATGGGAAACGTTCATCCGAAGTCGAGATTTCATCACATCTTTTCCGTTTGGGTCTTCATCGTCGTCACAGCCTCGTCTCCTAATCACTTTGAGTCATTTAAATACCATAGAAAGACGCAAAACTCTAGACTTCTTCTCGTCGTCTTCTTCAGCAACGTCATCATTATCACGTTTTACATGTTCGTTTTCAACTCTTGAGCACAAAGTGTACCTTCCGCAGTTTGTTAATGGCTTTATAAGCCTTGGATATGGCGAAGAGAAAATCATTTTCAATACCACTACTGGTAAGTCAATAACTTACCTAAAGTCGTAACGAAGACAGTGATCGTCCGAACTTATTTCGGGTGTGATCCGGTCAATGATCAATACAAAGTATTGTGCTTGACGGAAATATTTGATTATAAAGTATTCACACTCGGAGAAAGAGAATCATGGAGAGAGATAGATTGTAGCATTCCTCACTGCCCTAGGTCTAATAACGGTTTGTGCATAAATGGTGTTTTGTATTATCTTGCTCTAACCGGGAAGGGATTAATGGAAAGGAGCTTAATGAGATTTGATGTGAGGTCTGAAAAGTTGGATCTTTCTGTATATATTAAAGCTTTATCTGTATATGCTTTGATAAAGTACGAGGGGAAAGTAGCCATAACGAAAAAAGGTTTAGTATACCCATTACCCACGTTTATTGTGTGGGTTATGGAAGAAGATGGATGGTTGAAGACAAGTTTCAGTATCGAACCTTAGAGTCTACAAATGAATGATATACAGATAACAGGCACTACTCATATGGGTGAGATTATTTTGGCACCCTACCGTGCTACTGGAGCGTTTTATGTTTTCTTTTATAATCCCAATAAAAATAGTTTTAGAAACATGAAGATTCAACTAAACTTAGACGATGGCTTTGAATGGATGTACAGAAATAATGCAGAGAAAGTACAGTCCAATCCAAAAGCAGGCCCACCTGTATATGACAGCCAATCACATTTTTTTGTGAAAAACAACAATAATATAGTACACTTACCTATCACACTCCATGCAGTCAAAAGCATTTTTAAAAGTTGGACTGCAAGGAGGTGAGCTCTACGAACCTGTTCACCCAATGCATGTAGCATTTTCAAATTTTTTTTATTTCTTTTTTTTTTTTTTTTTTCTATATTTCCTATTCTTCTATAAAACCAAGAACTCTCCTCGTTCCTCATTCACTTTTAAACAAACAAAACAGCAAATCCTCTCAAGTTTTTTTTTTATATCAAGATTCTCTCAAATATAAATGTATGAACTCATTTCCTTTTTATTTATTTCTGTAACAATTTTGTTTCACAACAATTTTATTATTAAGTAACATATTTAATACAAAGATTTTGCATAGTTTCTATTTTATCTAGAGAAATATATTTATCTGGAGAAAATATATTTATTTATTTTACATTCATGAAACTTCTATAATTGTTTGCAACAACTATATAGTTTCATTTTGATTTTCAACAACAACTACTACATATCATAGAGAAAATTATGCATGTTGACTCATGCATCAGTTTTAAAGATATAACCTCATTACAAAACAATTATTAGACTAATAGATGTATCATATATTGAACTCATGGATGCTATTTTATTATCTATATTTTAACTATTAATATTTATATACTTATATATATAGTTATTGTTTCGTTTAAAAAAAAAATGTATAGTTATTTTATATTTATTTGATATTTAGAACTATAATATATATGAATTTTATTCGTTCTATATATACACATGCATTTTGGTTATCACATTTTGTTTAATTGGAAATTTATATTTGGGAAATCAATTAATTTCAGGCTGTCTTTTATATCCACCACAAGGATTCTCAAATCTAAGGTATGTTTATTTTATTATTTTATGATATTTACAACTATAATATATAACACAGAAAATTTTCATTTGTTCTTTATATGCACATGCATGATGGTGATAGTATTTAATTTAATTATTTTATTTTATTTTAATCAATTTTTTTTCAGGTTGTCTTCTACATCCACCAGAAAAAGTCTCAATTTAAGGTGTGTTTATTATTTCCAATTTTGTTATTATGAGATAGTTGTGATTTTTTTTTTAATTTCTACTAAATTATTTACTAGCTGTATTTTAAATTAGTTATGTTTTCTAAAATGATATGAAATCTTTAATATATGAAAATATAAGTATTTTAGGTTTATGTGTAGTACATCCTCTTCAGCATTTTAAATTGGTAGTTTTAGTATTTTTAGTTACAATTAATAATTTAATAAGATAATACAATAATATTTTAACATATATTTTTTAAACACTGATAGAGAAATTATAATATATTCACAATTTTATATTTATTTAACCATTTCATTTCATTGAATGTAGATTTGTCATATATTATAAAGTAAATTAACTCTAATTTTAGAGTTTTTGACCATGTAATTAAATTTGTCAACCACTAACATTAATTTATTAGCTCCTTTAACTAATATTTTATGAAAACAAAGAAAGTCATACTCACATATTAGTATTTATCAAGGCTAATTGAAATTATTATATTATTTAAAGTTTTGTAACATGTTCATATGATAAATTTATGCAAGTTAATAAACTTACATATGTTAACATAAAATTCTTGTGTAAACGTAAACTATTTTACGAAATTTTATATAACTTTTATTTTATTTTCCTTTATTCATTCAAAACAATTATTATTTTCAATTTTGTAGATATGGCGTTAAATCGACAAAACAGAAATTCTTCTCGGCAGTCAGATTTGATTCATCATAGCGAAATATCAATACGGGTAAATATTTTATACTTGCATTTTCAAGAGTTTATAGTTTAGTTGAAGTTTAAATGAATAATACCTTTTACAATTTTTGAAAATTTTAGAATGATGAGGATCTGAATTGGACTCATAGGCGAGAAAGAGTATTTATTGAGTTGTACGATCAAGCTCTTGCCATGAACAATTACCGTTTAAAAGACCCTACTCCAACTGGTAAAGAATTTGTCGTTGAAAAATTCAATGAGGAGTTCAATCTTCATATAGATTACAAGTTTTTCAGAAAAAAACTTGATCTAATGAAACGAAAATATAAAAAGTATTTGGGTCTTATACAAAATTCTACGGGCATCTCAGTTGATCCTGTTACATCTCTGATATCTGCATCAGACTCATGGTGGAAAGATCGTGAAGTAAGTACTTTTCATCTTTTCACACCTAAAATTTGTTAAGTAACCATACAAATATGAAAATTTTGTTAACTAAAAAATTATATAAATTTGTTGACAGTATGTAAAATTATAAGATCATTTCATAGACAACCTCTAGAATTTTGGGATATTATGCAACGTTGCTTCAAGTTATACGATGTCCACTCGCAATCCCAATATTCTGTGAGCCAACGAAGAGAAGAAATATTAAACAAGAGCGTAGTCAATGCTGAAGATTTTGTGGATTCAGAAACATACGAAGAAGATACATTAGAAACTCAAGTTCCACAAACACAAGAAAATGAAGATGTGTATCGAGTTAACATTGACGATCCGACACGTCCTTCAAATGAGTTTACTCGTGAAACCATGCATCAAAATTCTCCACCGGTCAATCCATTTCGAAATCCTGCTTCCAGAACGCCACAAAGGAAGATTAAGACGTGAGAGTGCTACAAACACAGTTGCAGGAAGCTCCAAAACTACTTCACGAGGAAATCGTAAAAAACAGTCATTTCAGGCAACTCTAATAGATACAATGGTTGGGTTCAGAGAGTTTCAACGCCAAAGCTTACAACAAATGCGCCCAAATTCTTTTGATCAAGAGGATTATGATGAATACGACAAGGCTGTCAAGATGTTTGAATCACTGGAGGTTCAGAAGAACACTGGATTTTATTGGGCATGCTTACAAGCATTGAAAGATGAAAGATTTTGGCGTAGACATTTCATTGACAGAGCTGAAAACACTGTCGAAGATAAGCTACAATTTTTGCAAGATTTGAGTGGATATACACAAGACGGCGAATTTGTTGGAAAAAAACTTGTCTCTGGTCAAAACAGCGGAAGTCCAAATTTTGGTGGTTTTTTTCTAATAGTCCATCTTTCGGCGGTAGTAATTCGTGGGGTCAAACTTCAGGTGGACAATGGGGTTATGGTTCTCATAAGTGGGGTACACCTCCAAATGCTCAACAGTGGGGTACACCTCCAAATGCTCAACAATGGGGTATACCTCCAAATGCTCAACAATGGGGTACTCCTCCAAATGCTCAACAATGAGGTACACCTCCAAATGCTCAACAATGGGGTACTCCTCCAAATGCTCAACGATGGGGTACTCCTCCAAATGCTCAACAGTGGGGTACACCTCCAAATGCTCAACAGTGGGGTACACCTCCAAATGATCAAAAATGGGGCTCATCATCGAGTGGTCCACAAAGGAACACCCCTCCAAATGCTCAGCAATGGGGTTCATCATTAAATGGTCCACAATGGGATTCACCGCAAAATGCTCAACCATGGGGTTCATCTTCGAAGGCTCAACAATGGGGATCATCACCCAATACTCGTCAATGGGATTTATCACCAAATGACCAACGATGTGACTTATCACCAAATGGTGAACGTTGGATTCCTCAGACAAATGTTCAACATGGATTTTCATTAAGAAATGAAGTAGAAACTACAACGAGGGGTGAGATAGGAGTTTCAAAAGAAGCAGAGTTTCAGAGAGGAGTATCACCAGAATTTGGTTTCATGGATTATTCAGCAGGTGCAGAAATACACAGAGCAAGAACGCGTAGAGTAGGAGGGTTATTCAATCTTTGGGAAAATAAACAAGGGCCAAACTTAAATAAGAGTCATCACAGTGATTCAGGAGCTGAAGATTAGTTTAGTAGCGCTTATATCTTGTCATTAGCAGTTATGAAAAAAATTATGTAATATTTTTATAATATTGAATATCAATTACTCTCTTTGTTTCTTATTATTTGATGATTTTTTTTGGTGTTTCTTATTATTTGATATTTTAGATTATTAAATGTACTTTTTGACAATAAATGCAACAAAATATAAACTTCAAGAGAATTCTATAATTTTTATTGGTTGATAGTTATTTAAAATGAAAAAAGTAATACATTAAATGTTAAGCATTTATTGTTTCTTAATCCATGTGAAAACTCTAAACATCAAATGATAAAGAACGGAGGGAGTATATTTTTGTGAACATTATATTTTTTTCTTGTCATTTTGATTTACAGTTTCTCTCGTTTTTATATTTTTTTCAGGCTTTTCGTATATGTGAGTTACGGTCACATGGCCTCCACAATCTAAACTACGAGGAGAGAATTGAGTTGTGGAATTTGGAAAATGAGCAATTTGAAGAATTAATAATCCAACCATCATTAAGTTACTACAATCGATATATTGAAAGAGGGCCGGTCCAAACTGATGGAGGTTTGGGATGGAGAAATATTTGGCGTCGATTACAGGAAGATATGCTGCTTGTCTTCAATTATTACGGATGTGGATTGGTGCTTTCAGAACATTATGCGATAAACTGCAAACGAGTTATGGTCTACAACCAACATTGAATGTAGGCATTGAAGAGAGTGTCGCCATGTTTCTACAGATATGTGGGCATAACGAAGTTCAAAGAGATGTTGGGTTAAGATTTGGACGAACACAAGAGACAGTAAATAGAAAGTTTTTTGAAGTGCTAAAAGCGACAGAGTTTCTTGCTTGTGATTATATTAGAACTCCAACAACGCAAGAACTACGACGGATTCCTGAACGGCTAGTAACAGATAAAAGATATTGGCCATATTTTAGTGGATTTGTTGGCGCCATGGATGGAGTTCATGTCTGCGTTAAAGTGAAGCCTGAAGTACAAGGAATGTATTGGAACCGGCACAATATAACATCATTTAATATAATGGCGATATGTGATCTAAATATGTTATTCACATATATTTGGAATGGAGCACCTGATTTATGTCATGATACAACAGTTCTCACAGCGGCACAAGATTTCCTTTACCTCCGCCAGAAAAGTATTACCTAGTCGATTCAGGTTATCCAAATAAACAAGGTTTTTTTGGTCCTTTTAGATCTTCACAAAATGTGGTTGTTCGGTATCATATGTCACAGTTCGAAAGTGGTCCTCCTCCTGGAAACAAGCAAGAGTTGTTTAATCGATACCATGCATCTTTACGCTCTGTTATTGAAAGGACTTTTGGAGTTTGGAAAAAGAAATGGAGGATTCTTTGTGAATTTCCTAGATACGATATGGAAGTGGAAAAAAGAGTGGTAATGGCGACAATTGGACTACATAATTTTATTAGAGTTTCAAAATTTTCAGATGAAGATTTGGCTGATGTAATGGGAGAAACAGAGACTGACAACACAAACTCTTTGGAACCAAGTGATATGGCAGAAACGGAAATAGGAGAAGGAAATCTTATGAATAATATCAGAGAGCATATTGCAAATATATTATGGCAGATAAAAACACTCTACATTAAATTTTGTTCATATGTTGTAATAAATTTAAATTTGAAGTTATATTTGAACTTTTCTATAATTGTTTATTTAAAAAAAAAATGTTACATACATATTTGTTTTTTTTTGTTATGTTTTTTCGTTTTTTATCAAATATTTAAAATGTTATTAGAACTATTTAATCTGTTTATTTAGCATGAACTGTATATATTCTGCATAATTTAAATGAACTGTATCTATTATGTGTGAACTGTAAATTCTATTTGAACTGCAAATTTTGGACTGGATCCCATTCGAAGTGTATGAGTTTTCGACCAATTATACATTTCTAAATGTTTTCTCGAATTATGTAGAGAATATTAGGTTTTTTTAGGAGATTTTTTGCTGTAATTTGAAGAAATGTTTTTTTTAGAAATTTCATGATTTGATACCAATTATAATGTTTTATTAAGATTTGCGTTGATTAGTCTTTTGACCGAAAATTAACATCATCACTTTGTTGCCCAAACTAGTTTGATTTGTCTGTTTGCTATCTTCGCACTTCAAGTTATGTCTACTATCTCGATCATTATACTCTTTGAGACTCCGAATCAGGCAGGAGACTACTTATGATGTTATAATAAAAGCAAAATGCAAATAAAAACTTTGAAGTAGTAACAAAAATACAAAGGCAACATCGAAGTTCAATTTTTTTTTTTTTTTTTTTTTTGTATATAATTTTTCTAGTTGATCAAATCCTTCTTTTTCACCCCTGACTCCCTGAGGTTGAGTCGTTGATTTAAAACTCACATAATATGCAAATTTGAAGCGCTTTGCACTTCAAAAACGGCACATCAGCAACATAGAATCAACAATACCGTCATCAAAGCATATAGATTCAGAAAAAAACCTTATCACTTCGCACATAATAGTGTAGATTGAAAGTGATTTTTTTTTTTAAACATATTGATTAGTCATGGCTGTCAAACGCTTTATCAACAATAAACCGTGGCGTTTTTACAGGATTGTAAAATCATATTATTTTATACCAAAAACAAACAAAAAAAATTCATAGAGCGGGTAATCATCAAATATATTTCGTATTTTGTGTATTGTCTACATAATTATGTTTTTTTTCAACAGCCTATATTCCTAGAATGGACTCAGGATCTGAAATAATGTTTTCATAATACAGAAGATCTCGTACACCTCGTGCTAACTTATTTGTCTTCGCGTTCTTTGTATTTGGTATGTGTTGGATGAAAAAGGAGCTGAACCTTTTCCTGCATATTTCGATCTCTTCTAGAAGAATTGAAAACACTGACCACTGACTCTATAGGGTTAGACACCATCTTAACCACGTTAGAACAGTCAATTTCAAAAACTATTACGTATTTGTTATATGAATCATGCATTGCATATCCTAAACTAGAGCTTCCACCTCCATTTAAAGTGGTGTGAGTCCCCGGCGTAGGTTACTTGATCCCATAGGTTTTTCACCCTTTTTCTTGTTTTGATAGCCCGCACGACGTTCTATCACTTCCACACTCATTAAACTGACAGCAATCCCCGTACATACGTGGTATTTCAACTTTAAAATTATTCTGTTTAGCTTTATAATTATTAATAAATAGTTTATTTACAAATCACCATCTTATTATATAAAGCTGGATGCGCACGACGTGGTTGCGACACGTAGGATTTTTATAAAATTCAGGATCGCGACATGTGTCACTTTTAAGTTTATGTCCGTTAAGATCGTGACACGTGTCTTAGGAAAAAAGAGAAAAAAAAAAAAATTCCAGAAAAATGTTAATTAAAAAAACGAAATTTAATTTAATCTATTATATCAAAAAGGAAAAAATAATATTTGCCAAATCCAAACAGAAAAAGGTTTCCATTCATCAATTTTTTATTATATAAAGTTGGATGCGCACGACGTGGTTGCGACACATAGGATTTTTATAATTTATAAGATCGCGACATGTGTCACTTTTAATGTTACGTCCGTTAAGATCGTGACACATGTCTTAGAGAAAAAAAAAAAAAAAATTAGATAAAGGAATTTTTTTAAAAAATAATCCATTACAGTTAAAAGAAATAAAAATATATTTGTCATATCCTAATAGAGAAAGGTTTCCCATTCATCAAATTAATATTATCCAAACAAATAATAAAATCAAAATAATGTAATAAATAAAATCCTATTTGTACATGGAATATGTTATGTAAACTAAATTTCCTATAACTGCATGTAATAGGTTACTTGAACCCCTATAAAAGAGAGTCAAGTTTCTCAATCATAAATTCATCAAAGCAAATTCATCAAATCCCTTTGATTCTATTTCTCCAATTTAAAAATCATGTTTTTGAAAGTTTTGCGATACATAGGATTTTTATAACTGACAAAATTGCGACATGTGTTTTAGAAAAAAAAAATTCTGGAAGTATGAAGATCGTAACATGTGTCATGGAATAAAAATAATAAAAAATTAATATGTATAAGACTAACTAAAAATTAGAAAAACAGATAACAAATAATTAAAATGAAAAAAATAATACATCCATTAAAAGTAATAAAAAAACAGGAAACAAATAATTTAAATTCTTTTGTTACATCTATTAAGAAAAGGAAAAAAAATCCATTTCGAAAAGGAAAAATACCAATATATAGTATTTATAATGGTCTGAGGCAAAAACAAAATTGAGAAAGAAAAAATATAAATAGAAAACTAACAAAATAATTATCAAGCAATTAACTAATATTAAAAAATTAATTGATATTCTAATTTTAAATAGTTTGATTTTCAATTTTTGTTAGGTAAAAAAATTGAAATAAAGATTTCATCAATTAAAATCTCTTGAATGGAATAATAAAAGTTTGATTAATTAATCAGTTGATCAGATTTAGACATGTGTAAGTCTTTCTGTATTGGATAAAAATAATAGTAAAACAAATTAATTCATTTTGTCATATCATAAATTCAAAAGAAAAATCAATTACAATAAAAATGTAAAAGTATTACCAATCTTATTTTATTTAAATATTTTTATCGGGTTTTCAATATTATTTTGTTTACGTTTAAAAATGATCAAATTTTGTTTAATATTTTCCATGCTTTTATTATAAAATCTTAAAATATACCCGCGTATACGCGGGCCTATTAAATAAGAAAGGAAAGAAAA